GTCTCAAAATATTTTACTCCTGTGACCCTCTTTACATCTATGCCAGGATGTCACACACCCCCCACTGCTCAATGTAGTACAGTTGTCCCTAATTTTTTATGTGGGTTAGGGGTGCACAAGACCTCCTTCTACACACCTCAAACCATTGCTTTTCCTTGTCGTGTCCCCATAACAGCAGCATGAGTTCCCTGGAAAACCATGTACAGTGGTCACCCCTGACTCAGGCCTGCATCCTTCCGAGGTCACTAAAATGAGTACCCAACTGTTGGGGGGCAATGAGCTTACAGTTGTAAACTGCTTAGACATCCCATAGTGCGATATGAAGCTGCTTTGCAGATTGAAGCTGCTTTGCAGATTGGGCCATGGGAGATGGAGCAAGGGAGAGGATCATTAAAAAGGCCAAGGCGCACTTCCAGGAAAGGAAAACCCCTAAATGCCCTAGTGACACAGTGGTTAAACTGCAGACACAAGATTGTGAGTTCGATCCCAGGCAGGGCTCCAAAGTTAGCCTTCCATCCTTTTGTAGGTCGGTAAAATGAGTTGGGGGCAAGTAGCTTACAGACTGTAAACCGCTTAGAGAGTGCTGGGTTCACTGATAAACGGTATAGAAATGTACATGCCATTGCTATTGCTAATCCTACAGGGATCCATCCTGATAATGTCAGTCACTTATCCAAGCACTTCTCAGCTGCAATGCTTTTGTTTCCATCCATGCCTACCCACTGATCCACACCATACTGGCTATTGTGCTCCTTTGGTGAAGATATTCATGAGCAAATAGAACACAGGTTGCTTGCCCTGGGGCTCAAGTGTTGCTCAAGCCAGAGATTTTTGGGGGTAAAGATCCAGGATGACTGATTTAGTGAGGATATCCACTAGTCCACCAATTAGTGGTGGATTAATAGATGCAAAGTTACTCCAAAATGGCATGCTTTCCCTTATGGCAGCTATTCAACAGGACTGGAAACTTACTGTAACATTAGCACTGTTGTGTGTTTGTTAGTGCTTTTAAAACCACATTATTCTTTGTTGAGTCTGTTCAGTTAAGAGGCTAGCTTTTATTTTGAAAATTAATGTGAACCTTCACAATTGACTACTGTATATATTCAACTCATGTATAAGTCGAGGGCAGGTTTTGGGGGCAAAATTATGGATTTTGATATGACCTATGGATAAGTCGAGGTTAAAACATAGGGGCATGTAACAAAGGATATGAAGGATGAAGCAAAGGAAAACAAATTCCAGCAGACATAACTGTTTGCGTTCAAACTAAAGGCTGGATGGATGACAGAGCAGAAGGGAGTCAGTGGTTCCATGTCAGGTTACACTCTTGCCTTTCAGCAGGGGTTGATTCCTTTTATATAAGAGCCAAAATACAGTACTTACATTAACCTGTGGATAAGTCGATTTAGGTTTTTGGGGTTAATTTTTTGACTAACGTGAGAATATACAGTAAATGTTGCTATCTTGTTGGCAAGCCAAAGACTTTTCAGTATATATGATTTCCTTCTCCTCCTCCACCACTCCCAATTTAATAAAGAGGTCAGAGTTTCATTTCATATTTAGATGTTTAGTTTAAGGACCTTGGTGAGCATACTCTACAATAACTCCTATATGCAAGAGCTCCAGTTCTTGCAATAAGCAGTTACATGAAAACTGCATTGCTTGTTTCAGTGCCATGAAAAAAATAACTGCTTAATGGGGGAAGGGAAACTGAAAATAATGAAACTTAGGATCTTTACAGACTGCCAAGAATAATGCAGCTTGAGACCACTTTAACTGCCCTGGCCCAATGATAAGGAATCATGGGAATTGTAGTTTTTCTGAGACATTGAGCCTTCTCTGTCAAGGAGCTCTGGTGCCACAATAAACTACAGTTCCCATGATTCCCTAGCACTGAGCCAGGGCAGTTAAAGTGGTCTCAAGCTGCATTATTTCTTGCAGTTTGTAAAGGGCCTTACTTCACTGCAGAAAGTGTAGACTGAATACTTACACATTAGAAATTAATCTGTCAACAGAGGCTGCTAATCCACAAATTACAATCTAAGACAATGAACAGAAAATAGAGTTTCTGAACTGGCACAAGTATTTGTTGAACTTTTTAAACTTGTAAAACTTGAATTAGTTTCAGTTTTCAGAAATGCACTGTTATTATGTGGGGTGAAAGTGGGATGGGGAATCTTTGTAGAGGTAAGAGTGCTATCAGTAAAAAACAAACAAACTAAACAAACCAGGTAAGACTTGGAGAAGTAAACAAAAACATTCTGAACCTTCTAGAGACCATTTGAAGGCTTCTTCCAAAATACATTCAGGAATGACTTTTTTAAAAAAATCATCGTTCACTCATGGTTTCCATCTGATGATACCAAACTTGATTTTTTAAACATGTTCTGGGGAAGCTGGTGACACAGGCTTCTCCCTTTTTCCTCTATTTTTTTTTTTTTTTTACAGTTCACACATGATGAATAAGGAAATCTGGAGGCAGCTGCTGTTTACTTTGCCTGTTCTAGGTAGGCACACACAGCTACAATAGAATCTCATTCTTTCCCAGCTAAAGCTTTATTACATTGTTTACTGTAGACAAACTGCTGCAGCCTGATACCAAAAGTCTGTGTTTCTCCAGCCCACTTTCATCATCTTCCCAATGCTAATGCTGCTAAAAAATCCAGCCAGGCAGAGAACAAGGACAAAGGGGGACTAGGCAAACATAAAAAGTCTTTGTAAAAAGGATTTTCCAAAAGTCTTGTGTTCCACTAAGAAGAAAGGAATTCGGATAAAAAAGGCTCTGGCTCTGATAGCTGGTTTAATATAACTATTTCATACAAGCATTCTCTAAGAGGTAGCTGCTATGGTCATAATAGAAAGCATGGCTGGTTCTGAGAACAAACAGCCTTGTGATGCTTTACAGATCACACTGGTAGTTAACTAGCTTTGAATTCAAGACTTGGAATCCAGCTTGAAAGGAGCTGGTGATAATAAGTGTGCCAGGATATCTTTCATTATGATATCCATTGAGAAAGTTTAGAAAGGCATCATATCCTTTAACACAGTAGATTATAGCAATGGCTATGACGTGAGGACATCATCATCTTGAATTATACATTATTCTTTGTGCTGCATCCCACTTATAGAAACTGCTTCCATGGGAGACTCGCTGGTCCCTGCCTAAGCTGAGATATGTTATGCTTTACCTGTTTGGGCCTGGTCTTTGTGACTCAGGAAAGGATGGGGAAATGCAATTGAATTAAATTAAATCTGACTCTGTTTTGCTTATTCTTCCTTTCTGTTACCCACCTTGAGCATTCAGGATGGGAAGGACTATAGATCTACCTAGTACAGAAAAGAGAGAGTTTGCATACAATCATCACGTCTGGCCTAATAAATATTGCCAAAATTAGGGATTACTTGAAATGAACACACTGCCAGAACAAAGTGCTCAATACGTTTGGGGGGAGGGGGAGGACTCATTTAGGGAACTCATTCTACATTTGGCACTCAGACCTGAAGTAGCAAGCTTAGTAAAATCATTTTTGAAAATGTAACCTTATACCTTGCCTCTGGCACAATCATACTGGAATCAAAGAAAAAATTCTGAGTGAAATCTGTTATGTATTAGGAAGTCAGACAATTAAAGTCATTTGATGGCATCTCTCCCTTTCTGGTAATACCTAGAGGGCACAATGAGAGCAAATGTTAGTATACAGTCTCAGACATATGCTTCATTACAGACTGAAGACTGCCTCCTAAATAAAGGTAAGAAACTACAGTGCCACTGATAAAAAGGTTCATGGCTGAGTAATATTCAGATATTTATTGTAGATGTTCAAATGAAGGCTAACATGCTGACATTTAACTAGAACTAGCATTTTCCCTCTGGAAATGCACCCTAGTCTGCTTTAATGTCCTTAATTCCTAGGCTCTGGAACAGAAAGGAAGACCAGTTGGAAGATTTTTGCAAGGGGAAGTACTGGTGCAAGAGGAGAGGCTACAGCAATTATTATGATTGGTGTTGTTGTTTTGCTATTGTTATATTTATTTATATCCTACTTTTCCCCCAAAATTGGGACACAAAGTGGCTTACAGCAAGTGACTTCCTACTGCTGTTCTTTCCAAGTGCCTTCCTTGCATTACTATTCTGCCAGCAAATTGAATGTGGGAACCTGAAGCGTCAAGAGAATTTGTACTTTTGGCCTTAAGTTCCACCTCCACAGCTGAGATGCATAATTTTGGATACTTCAACAAATGCTTACTGTTGAACTCACACTTTTGATACTAGAAAAAAAAATTAACACATTTTATATCTGCATTGCATGCATTAAAGCAGTTTGACCCCATTTTAGCTGCTATGACCCTATCCTACAGAATCCTAGGATTTGTAGTTGGTGAGATATTCAGCCCGGTCTGTCAGAGAGCTCTGGTGCCTCACTACGAATCCCAGGATTCCACAGGACAGAGTCATGGCAGTTAAAGTGGTGTCAAACTGCTTTAATTGTGCAGTATGGATACACCCAATGTCTCT